ACCCTAGCCTGCCCGCCGTACCTGGTGGACCTGAGCTGCACCTCATCCTCCTCCTCGTCGCAGGCCGCCCCCTCCGGGAGCGCTCGGTGCTGGGAGGCCAGGAAGTTGAACATGTCAAAGGTGCACTTGCTGCGGGGCAGAGGGGAGGGAGAAAGGGCAGGAGCTCGCAGCCATTCCTTCCGGAGATGCAGCCGGCCCGCTCGGCAGACTGGTCACGCTGCTGCTCGGGAGGCGGCCCTCCTTCTGATGACAACGACGGGGCAGTCCATGCCTTCTCTCAAGGCCCCTGGCCCATCCACTCCAAGCTACGCTGCCACCGGAGTGCCCTGGCCGCAACCAGCTCTCACCGGAGATAGACCTCGGCCCGGGCTGCGCCGTGGGGGTTGAGGGGCGGCTCCTCCTGGCCCTCCCCCTGCTGGTGGTAGCGGAACTTGTAGTGCTGGCAGTGCTGGGCCCCAGGCAGCTGCTCGGCCAGGAAGATGACCGCGTCGTGGTGGATGCCCAGGAGCCTTGCCCCACTCATTCCTGGGGAGCCAAAGGTGAGGACAGTCACATGGGAGCCCTCTAAAGATCCCCCAGCCTCCAGGGGGCCCCTCACACCCCCTACACTCACCACTAAATGAGAGATGTCTGAGCCGGGCATGCCCCCGGGCCTCCTGCACCTTCTCAATCAGAGTTCTCCACGCTCCTGGGGAAGAGGGAGTGTGTGCTGCTGGCCAGCTCGCCAGCCACTCTGCCACCCCCACCCCCACCCCCACCCCCACCCCAGACTAACCTTCTAAGCTCTCAGCCTCCACACTGAAGCCATCCTCGCTGCTGATCTCAAAACGCAGATGAGGGCCAGCCCGCCGGGGAGCTTGGTTTTCTTTGTCCTCGGGGGATGGAGGCTCTTCCTCAGAGCTAGAAGCCTCACCTGGGCCTAGGAAGCAGGTCAGAGGAGGTGGGGAGCACCCTTCCTGGACTCAAAGCCACCCTCCCAGCCACACTGTGTGCTCTTCCTCTCCGGGGAAGCCTGGAGTTTGATCACCCTCCTCAGCTGCGCGGGAGACCCGTGGCACCTTTTCCGCTTAGAGCTGCTCCCATGAGCCACTCCTGGGGCTGGAGGAGTGGCACTGCAGCACACCCCAACCCCGTGGCTCCCTCAAACCCCACCACCACCATCGGGTCTACAGACTCACAGCGACCCTGTGTAGATGGGGCTCTCCTAACAGACGGCCTCGCCTTGCTCCTCCTGAGCGCTGGTGGGTTTGAACCACTGACTGCAGCTAACAGCCCAAACCCACTGCATCACCAGGGCTCCGTCACTCACACCCCAAAGAACTGAACTCACTGCCAACAATGCAATGCCCACTCAAAGCGACCCCACAGGGCAGGGAAGGCCTGCCTTGTGGGCTTCTGAGACTAACTCCTTGCAAGAGTAGAGAGCCTCGCCTTTCTCCCCGAGAACAGCTGCTGGTTTCGAACTGCTGACTTTTTGTTAGCGCACCTCCCCACCCCCACCCCCCCAGCCGGCTCTGCCGCTCCCTCCCAGAGTACCATGAAGCTCTTTACCACCCCCACGCCCCACTTGCACACCAGAGGCAAAACCCTGGAAAATTAAACTTGCAGACATTTTAAATCTATCGCTCACTTCTGTAAATACTACCAATGGATTATTCACAGTCACACCCATGTCTATTTCTCAAGGGTCCATTCTGACCAGGCTGTCATTCTGCTCTGTGCATGCATCTGAATGACCAGCACATGGTGTCTGACACGAGCCCCTGCCCTGGGGGAGTTTACCTTCTAGCTGGGGGAAGACACAGTAAACAAGAGAACAAAGTACACGGTATCAGATGAAAGGGGAAAGCAAGATACGTGAGGAGCTTCAAAGAGTCTCTGGGGAAATGCCACTATCTTTCACCCATTCCCCTCACTACCCCCCCCGCCGCCCCCACACCCCCACTGTCAAATGAAGGGGGGAAACAAAATGCACGAGGGAGCTTCAAAAAGTTGGTGGGGAATGGGAGGATATTGGCATTTTCCCACAAACTTTCCCAGGCACACTGCGGGGAGGGGTTCTGGTGGCAGAGGGAGGGGCCCAGTCCTCAGGAAGGCCACTGTGGGCAGAGCCGAGTCAACAATGACTAGAAGGGGGAAGCAAACAGCGAGGCCCCGGGGCTGTGGGAATGAAGGGGAAGCCCAGCATGGCTCTGCAGGCTCCCCAACTGCCTTAGGTGTGAGTAACAGAACAGGAGGAACGGACGACCCACCCAGTGTGGTGCAGTTGGGGATGACGGGGAGATTTAAGACAGTGTGAAGGGGACTTGCTGATGTAGCAGGTGTTGGGTACAAAGGGGAGGGTAAGTGGGAGTCAAGGACATCGCTGATGTCTGAGCCCGAGTGACTAGGAGGTGAGAGAGGCTGCAGGCCAAGAGCCCAGTTTAGGACAGTGGCTTTGACCATGCTCCCCGCCCCCGTCTGACATCAGCAGGCTGAGGGATGGGGATGGAGGTGCCTGGAGCTCAGGCCGGAGACTACACCTGAAGACTACGCGGAGAGGCTGGAGCCAGATGAGCAGCTGGGGCAGGAGTAAGGGCAGAAAGGTCAAGGCCAAGGTCCCAGGTGGGGCACAGTTGAGGTGAGTTTGGTAAAATCAGGCCCAAGCAGAGAGGGGAGGTGGGGTAGGGGGCCCTGGCGGGTGGGAAGGAGCTGCTTGGAGGAAGGGCTCGGCTGCAGTAAATGGTGGCTGGCACAGACCGCTCTATTTGGTCACACAGAGACCACCAGGACCTGGAGGCTTTTGGGTGGAGTGGAAGGAATGGAGGTTTCATCGGACCGTTTCTCAGGGCACCAGTTGTGGCCGAGCAAGACCCGAAGGGAGAGTGGGACTCACAGGGCCTTTCCCTCCTCGCATCCTGACTTGCCCCCTGGCCTTGTCCAGCCCCAAGCAGGCCGCAGCTCCAAGTGTCTGGGCCTCAAAGTGACAGGGTTCACCCACACCACTCCTGGCACCTACCCTCTCTGCCTCACCTCCATTCTGTCCCCTGCACAAGCGCACAGGGACTGCCCAGACACCTCTTATCAAGGTCTCCTCCCTCAGTGCCTCCTCCGACCTGCTCCGCACTTGCTCAGGCATGAGCCTGCATCCTTGACCCTTGTGGGTAGGGACCTGTCCGTCAGGGTCAGAGAAGCAGCCTCACACTGCGACCCACTCTTGCCTCTTCAAACTCACTGTCATGGAGTGACTTCTGGCTCACAGGGACCCTGCAGAACAGAGTAGAACTGGCCCTGTGGGTTTCCGAGACGGTGACTCTTGACAGAAGCCATGACCTACTCTTTCTCCTGAGGGGCAGCCGGTGGTTTTGAACTGCAGCCTGACCTGTAACCACTACGGCCCCGTTTCAATCCATCTCACTCCATGAGCACTCACAGCACTGACGTCTACGCTTCAAAACTCCACAGCCCAGCGGGGCAGGCCCCTGGCCTGAGCCATCCTGGCTCACTTGGCTGCAGTCACCTCCCTAGCCTGCAGTCCCTAGTGACCACCACTCAAAAAGACACCCCCCCCTCCAACACCCACCTACCCCCGATTAGCAGAGAACTTCACAGCCGGCTTCGGGGAGCCCCCCAGTCAGAAGGATGCCAACTGGCTGGACCCTATGGACTAAGGTGTCTAACCTGTCCTCTTCCCTGCATCTCAGGGGCTCCCCCTCTGAATTGGCCACTATGGTCCTCCCCGACCTCCCTAGCCATGCAATCACTTTCCTGGTTTGGCTGCCTCAAAAACCAAATAGTCGCTGACTCAGGGTGACCTGAAAGGACGGCTGGTTCCCGAGACTAACTCTTGGCTGGAGTAGAACGCCTCGTCTTTCTCCTGCAGAGCGGCTGGTGGTTTTGAACTACTAACCGTATGGTCAGCAGCCCAACATGTAAGCCCGATGGCACCAGGGCTCTTCAGGCCTCACCAAACCCCTCGGAGCGAGGGTCTTGTTCTCGGTCCCTTGCTCTGCCTTCCATCCTGGAGTGGGGCGCCAGGCACGCTGGCAGCCAGGGCTACTGTGCAGGCTCTTCCTCCGGGCCACCACTCTGTCCTGACCTGCGCCCCACTCTTCCTGCCTCTCCCTTTTAAGTCCTCTGGGCTCCATCCTATCTGGGGGGCTCTCTCCCTGGGGACCCCCCTCCCCGGCGTTCTCAGGCACTTGGCCTGAGTGCTCAGCAAGGCCACCTGGAGCTGAAAGATCCTCTCCGGTGGGGTGGGGCGGCGCAGGGCGGAGCTGGCCTTATGTAAAGTGTCTCTGTAACTCCAGCTCCTCCTCTGGGGCGCCGGCTGTCAGTGGGCCAGCCAAGTCCCGGACAGGGCGGGCTGGCTCCTACCTGTGTAGTGGTGCCACTGGGGTTCAAGCAGCAAGTCGGGGGGACCATCAGGGACGCGAGGCGGCTCACGGTCAGGAAGTGGCAGCAGAGGAGACTGTCCCTGGAAGAGCCTACAGAGAGACTGCCAGTCAGAGGAGGGACAGGCGGACGGTGGCTGAGCCCTTGGGGGCGAGGAGACAGTCCACTTACCCAGGGCTGTCCTCTCCAGCGGGCTCCCCAAGGTCGTCCAGGCCGCAAATGCCCTGCACGGTGGGGGTCTTCATCCTCACCCGGCTAAACCTGGTGGCCAGACATGTTGTAGATGAGCCCTTGCCCCCCCCTCCCCTCCACCCGCCCAACGAGTATCTCCCCTTACCTGCTGCCACCGCTGCTACCGCCAAGCCCCGGAAGTTGGGGGTCGGCTTCCAAGGCCTCTCCATCTTCTTCCAGCCGGGGAGTCTTGCTTGGGGGCGTGGCTGGTGGGGAACGGCTAGAGAAGGTGGATACCCGCTTGATGCGGATAGCCTGGCGGGGGGGGCTGGGGGGTCCACTGCTCAACACCAGCGTCAAGGGTGGGGGTGGGGGCGGAGGGGCGGGGCGAACCACCCCTACCACTGGCAGCACGCTCAGCAGGGGTCCTGAGGGCAGAGTCCACGAGGTGGGGGCTGCGGAGGGGATGGGAGGGGGCAGGGGCTGCTGTTTGACTGGTGAGGAGACAGGCTCACCCTCCCCAGCCATCTTCACGAACACTTGCCCCAGTTTGTTGACCAGGATGATTTTGGATGTGGCGGGTTTGGGGGGCTCGGGGGCAGGGCTGAGGCTCAGTACTCGGACCCCAGGGGCCCCAGGGAGCCAGGCAAATGTCCGGGTGGGGTCAGCCGGGCTGGGGGGCAGGCCCTGGGGGGGCTGGCTGCCATTGGCAAGAGGTGGAGGTGGGGGAAGCGGCTCCTCTCTGGGGCCCGCACCCCCTTCTCCAGGCCCCCCTAGATTCTTCAATACAAAATCCACGATTTCGGATGGCAGATCCTCAGGCGGTCGGGCCCTGTCCCCTGCAGCCCCGATGATCCCAGCCCGGCCTACCCCTGGCCCTGATGGTGGAGCCCCCTGGCCCCGAGGCTGCTGGACCACCTCGGCCTCACTGTCTGTGCCGTCGTCCACGCCATCCAGCTGCTCGATGCGAGGCATTCCCGGGAGGGTGCCAGGGGTCACGGCAGGGCCGGGCACCACAGTCACAGGGAAGTGAATGTAGTGGGAGCTGGGGCTGGCCTCCTCCTCGGAGCTGTCCCCCAGGGCCCCGTGACTGCTCCCCACGGCCCCTGCGGCCACAATCTCTTCCTGAAAGGGCTCGGTCCCCAGCAGGCTGGCTGCAAAGTCCAGGTCAGCAGCACTCAGTCCTGACACCACCTCCATGTCCTCAAAGTCTGGGCCCAGGTCTACGGGGGGTGGCGGAGGAGATGGGGCCAGGCCAGGGAGAGCCAGCTCCCCTGAGGTAGGTGCGAGGGTTGCAATGACTGAGGTAGGAGGGGGCACCCTGAGTGGAGGGGAAGTTCTGAGGGGCGGGGAGGCACGCCGGGCGGGTGGCAGCCTAGGGGTCAGCGGGCTGGGCCGGCGGGAGCGTCTGGGGGTGGCTGGGAAGTCTGGCTCGCCCACTGTAGGGATGTGGTGGGTCAGAGAGGAAGGACTTCCTGGAGGAGGAAGGGTCAGGGTCAGCTGAGGCTCCTGCCTCGCTGAGCCCCCACCTGCCCTGCCCCGCCCCTCCCTGGACGCTCCCGGGGCTCACCGGGGGAGGGCAGGGGTCCAAAGGAGATGCCCCCCAAGGGCCGCCGGGATGGCGAGTAGTTGGGCACTTTGATTCGGGCCCCCGAGAAAGAACGGGGAGCCAGTGGAAAGGCGTTGCTTGGATCTGACCGAAGTGGGGGGTCCAGGCTCGGGGTCAGGGAATGATGCTCAGGCGCTCCGGGGGCAGGGATGTCGGTGGCTGGCAGGGGGTTCTCATGATCTCGGGGCTCTACAGGGGCAAGAGCATGGCAGCAGGGCAGCAGGGGCTTCCCCACCAATGAACTCGTCACAAAAGGAGGGGTGGGGTGGGGTGCAGTGACCCACTCCACCACAGCTGGTGCAAGAGTCCACGGTAGCCCATCTCCCTGGTCCTTGTTGGGGCTGCCTGTGGCTCTCTCGAGGGTCACACCCCAGAAGGGCCAGTCCCACCACTTTCTGACTTGCTCTGCACACCCTGCCACATCAAACATGCCGCCCATCCTGGGCGTTGGGCTCCCCATTAACGGGCTCCACCCCACCTCAGCACGCAGAGCAGGATCCATGCTGGAACTCCTTCCCGCTGCCCACCTGCCCCAGAGCTCCCCCAGCTGTGGGTCACAGGGACCTCACCTTCTCTGCCGGGGCCGTCTCTCTCCCCGCTCAGGTTGGAGGACACCAGATTGGGAACCAAGCAGATCCAGGCTCCTATCCTGGGGCCACCAGATCTACCTGGCCCGGCGCCCCTCACCACTGCCAAGCCGGGCTCGTATCTCCACCAAGGGCCACAGCAGCAGAGCCCCAGAGCCCCAAGTCAGGGCAACACAGTGGTCCACAGGTCACCACCCCCTAAGAGCAGGTCTTACGGTGACCTACAGGAGCCTGGAGCAGGGCTGACTGGAAAGTCTGCCGTTCAAACCCCCAGCCACCCTGGGGGAAAGGCTTTCTGCTCCATCAAGAGCCTCGGGGAGCCCAGGGGCAGCTCTACTGTGCCCCGGGGTCGCTGAACGTGGGGATTGACCCATTAGCAAGGAGTTTGCCATTTTAAGGGTTTTAAGTGGTGTCCTACCCTCACTTCAAAGGAGCCCTGGTAGTGTAGGGGGTTATATGCTGAGCTGCTAACCACGTGAGAGGCGGGGCTCTCGGCTCCCCTAGATCGACAGTTCTACTGCCCTACAGGGTCACGACGAGTCGGCAGGAACACGACGGAAGGTTTGAGACCCTCACTTCTTGGCCCCGGCACCAAAACCCAGGCTGCCGTTGCCAGCTGACAACACCTGGAGTTCCGTGTTCACTTTGGGGGGGGGAGGGGGGAGGCTGGCTGGCGCCTACCTGAGGATGGGGTAGGGCTGTGCACAATGGTCTGGTTCTCCTCTGCTGCCTCCAAGTGGACCGGCTCTTCCCTCGGCCCCCATGGCCGATACTCCAGAATTCGGCACCGATACCAGCAGCGCCGCCGAGCATCCACTGTGCTCCAGTACAGGCGGGAGCACCTGCAGGGCAGATCATGGAGCTAAGGGTTACAGCTGGGTGGGGCCTCGGTCCTGGAGCCCCCAGCCCTACTGAGCCGCCCCTGGACTGCTCACTCGTAGCCGACGGGGAAGAGCCGTCCATCGCAGTCCGAGAGATCAGACAGGGTTCCCAGGGAGTCGATTCGGATGGAGCCTGGAGAGCAAAGGCCCGGTCAGAAGAGGCGAGGCGGGGCGGGGCGGGCCAGGTTGGGCACAGCCAAGCAGATGGTGGGCAGCTTACCAATGAGCACGTTGATGGCATCAGGTTCAAGCCCCGTCATGAACTTTCGCTTGAAGTTGATGCCCTCAAAATCCACATACACTCGGCGCAGAACATCGAAGCCATCGGGGGTCACGATCTCCTGGGAGGTTAATGGTGACCGTGGGGTTGCTGGGTTGGCAGGGAACCCAGCGGGTGTGTGGGAAAGGCCCTACAGGCAGGAACTCAACAGCCAAGGACGTGGCCTAAGAGGCTTTGGGCAAACACATCCAGAGGTCCCCAGCAGCAGGGGGTGGCCTGAGGAGTCCCGGGGGGGCTCTGAGGAGAGACGCACCCGTTGGATCAGAGGACTCAGAGAAGGGAGAGTCTCCCCCACGGTTCTGGCCCACCTTGCCATCTAGCAGGTCCGTGTGTTTCCGGCAGAACACCTTCTTGTCGTCCTGGAAGATGCAGCAGCTGGAGCGGGCGCACATGAAGTGGAAGTTGCTGAGGCAGGAGGGCAGGCAGCAGCCCACCGTGGCGCCGGGCTTCTGGCAGAACTCACAGCGCTGGCAGTGGGAGGAAGGGCTGCTAAGGGAGGGGCCAGCACCAGCGCCCGGCTTATCACAGCCACCCTCCAGCCGCCACCTGGGCCCGTCCAGCCATGGACCTCCACCAGCAACGGCAGTCACCAATCCCACCTCTTCCCCACCGTCCACCGAGGCCAGGCGCCCATCCCAACTGTTCCAGGCCTTTGGAAAGCAGGGTATTGGGGCTCGGCAGCTTTCTTACACTGGAACTACCTTCACCTCGTCCTCACGACTGCTCTCGGTTGCAGGTGCAGAGCTCGGGGGGCCTACAGTAGCAGGTCTAGGGCCCAGACCAAAGCTTCCCAACTGAAGTGACCTACTGCCCTCTTCGCAGGAAACCCGACTCAGTCCGCTCCCAGCCCGGCCACGATGCTTGTGCACTCTTAGCTCCTAATGCAGGGCCGAGCGCAGACACCTGCCTTCACAGCCCGCCTGCTGGGGGCCACTGCAGCACCTGCTGGGTGGCGGTATCCACAAGGGTGGGGAAACACTGGCCTTCACTCTGAGTGCAGGACTCTCCGCACCTGCCCTTGGGGACACAGTGAGGACAGGGCCCAGCTCAGCTAGTAAGCTGCGGCTCTCCAGGGACTCTCCCACGCTGCACACTCAGCCTAAGGCCAGAGAGCAGCGGCACAACGAGAAAGGCAGCTAGTGCCCAGCACCGAGCAACGGGACACCCCAAGTGGGTCCCTCAGAACAACCGTGGAAGGACATGCCCAGGGGATGATGGGCATCAAGACAGAGGGACATGCCAGGCCTGCCCTCACCATCTGCCGCCCTCGGGCCACAGCAGCGTGCACGTTCTTGAGGGAGCCGTCGTTCTCCTCAAAGACTTCGGCCGACCAGATGGCACAGTTGACGTGTGTCCACTCATTCTGCCCGATGTACAGGAGCCGCCCGGCCTTCTAGGGACAGCAGGGGAAGGGGGTGGTGTCACTGGGGGGCAGGGCTCTGGGACTGAGGCAGCCCACCCTGGGCCTTCCTGCAGCGGCGGCCCTCACCTTGGAGTCGGCATCCCCGTACTTGAGGCACAGGGCACATTGACGGGGGTCCTCCACGGGGGGCGCGGCAGCTGGATCCTTGCCCTGGGAAGCTGGGAAGGACATGGAGGGTGAGGCGTCACGATCAGGACCCGGAGCCTGGCCTGTGGGCACGGGGGCCCTGGCTTCCACTTCCCATTTCCCATACCTGCCGAGGGGCCCCCGGGAGGCTGCCCCGATTCTGGGGTCTCTGGCTCCTGCTGCCTCCACTGAGCATAGACATGGTCCAGGGATGGGGGCAGCACTGCATTGGGAAGGACACCACTGCGGACACAAGGGTCAGCCTCTGTCACATGCAGCGCGGGAGCTGCACGGAGTCCCTCGCCCCACTAGCCCCGGCACCCCTGCTGCCCTCCAACGTCCTGTGAGGTCCCCCAAACAAGCCAGGCCCTCCACACCACCTCAGACACAGGAAATGCTACCCTGCTCACTTTGGCAGCCGGGTACTCCGTCGCCAGTACTTGGGGTCGTGGGCATCAAACCAGCCAAATGTCGACTCCAGCAGCTGGGGAGTGGGTGGAGAGGATGAGAAGAGCTGGCTTCCTCAGCAGCTTTGGCAGGGCCAGTGCCCCCCGCCACGCCACTGCAGGGCACCCTCAAATAGCTCACTTTCAGCAGGAGCCCCTTCATCTGGCCTCCAGCCCGGCGCTCGGGGGCCTCTCCCTCTTCGGAGTGCCTTGTCAGAATGCTCACCATGTCCTCCATGAAGCTGTGCTGTAAGGGGCTTTGTCAGGGCCAGAACCCCCCACCCCTGTCCCCCAGCCCACTCACCTCTTGCCACCTGCCTCCATCCCCACGTCCCACTCACCACAGAGGTGTAGTGACCCTCCTCAAAGCGCTGGCTCACCGCCTGCAGACCACAGGGCCCAGGATGCAGCCGATTCCCGTCCTGCCCGCACTGGAACGGGATGGGAGACTGGGTGGTCAGTAGAGCCGGTGCAGCCAGAATCCAGTAACCCCCACCCGCACCCTGCCCCCAAGTACTCCAGACCTGGGTGCACAGCAGCAGTGGGCCCACCACCTTGGAGTTCAGCAGGCCCTGGAGCACCTGGCGTAGGCCCCCCCGTAAGGCCCCGTGGAGAGCCTCTCGCCAGCGGGGGGAGGTGGCCCCGGCACATGGCCCACAGGTGTACAGTACAGAGTCCGGCAGCCCCGAGAGGATCTCGTAGTCCTCATCTGGAAGGGCCGGGGCCAGGTAGACCAGAAGCTGGTGAAGGAGGAAGGGAGGACCCCAGCAGCCCCACCACCACCAAGTGCATTCATTCCGCCTGCTGGCCCACTAGGGAGAAGCCGCCGGGAAGCAGGCAGTGGATGAGGGACTGAACTGCTCGCTGCAGGCCGGCCAACAGAAGTATGAGGCTCTCTGCTCCCACCCAGGTCCAAGGCCACAGACGCCCAAAGGGCAATCCTCTGCTCGGCTATGTGCTGACTAGGAGTCAAAACGGACTTGCTGGCGGCGGGGGCGGGCTTTGTGTCCATCTGGGGAGGCGCCCTGGTGGCACAGCAAGTTAAGTGCCGGGCTGACAAGACCAGCAGTTCCACCCCCCCTCACCCCCAGCTGAGGCACGGGAGTCAGCTGAGACAGTCTGTGCCCAGAAAGCCTCAGCCCGAGGAGCAGCTGCACCACCCTGTAGGGTGGCTTGGAGTCAGGACTGAGCCGACGGCAGTGGGTGTGGGTGTGGGTGTGGGTCCTCCAGGGGCCGAGGGCAGCTGGAGCACGTGCTGCCAGCAGCCCTGCACTGACCTGAGAGGCCCTCACACTTGGCGTGCACCCAGTGGTCGCACTGTGCACACTGCATCATCTTGCTCTCGTAGTCGTTGTCCTCGTAGCAGCGGGTGCAGATGGGGCAGTAGTTTCCTGGAGGAAAGGCACCAGGCGGCAGTCAGCCACCCCTCGGAGTCGCCACTGTGTGAAGGCTGCTGCCTCCGTGGCGCCCTCAGGCTGGCTTCGCACTAGCCCCATAGCCTTTGCTGGAGCTCAGCGGCCAGCAGTGCCTCGGGAAAGACAGGGCCCACTAATGGCGCCGCTGCCTCAGGAGCCGAGGGAAGGTAATGTTTCTAAAACTGTTTACTGGAGATCTGCAGACCCTCAGGGACCCCCAAGAGGAGGAGGCCCCGGGGAAGCTCCGAGGCCCTTGAGAAGGAAGAAGATGCTCAGGTGTAAGTGTGCCGGGAGTCCCTGCCCTCACTGCCCGTCTGGAAACCTGCCCATGCCCCCCACCCCACCCCCATACACACTCTGTCCCCATGCTCTGCCCACGACGAGGTCCCCACCTTTCTCATAGAGCTGAGTGCACCGGGGGCAGAGGCTGTAGTCTCCAGACCACTCCACGTCCCAGTTCTTGCCTGGAGTTGCCCCACAGCTCTTACAGCGCACGCAGGCCGAGCAGATCTGGGGTGCAGGGAGGGTGTTAGGGGAGAGCCAGGCACCAGGCTCATGTGGGGAGGGGGGCGACAGGCAGAGGAAGACAAAGGACAGACAAGGAGGTGCTGAGGGGACTGGTCAGGGAGGTGCGGGGGCGGGGTGGGATGGATTGGGGAGAGACCTACAGGAGGCTGGCGGGGCAAAAGCAGGGATTCCCGGGCTGGGCTGGGCAAGCCACCGAGCCCCTGAAACTTCCAGGGACCAACCCTGTCATGGTGTCATTTGTTGGAACGGAAGCGTTAGGTGTCCAGCCCTCCCCTCCTGACAGACGGCCCCTGCTCTGGAGCCAGTGGGTGTGGGCTCTGTCTAACCCCAGGGCAGGGGTGCAGAGGGTGAGGGCCTTGGTGCTCACCCAGTGGCGCCGCTTGCGTGTGGCCCTGGTTGGGTAGCTGGGCCCCAGGCAGGCTGGGTGGTAGGCATGGCGGCAGCGCTCACACTCGAGGAGGTGCTGGGTGATGAGAAAGGCAACATGGCAGGGGCTATTGGCAGATAAACACCCCGCCCTTCCCCCCACCCCTAGGCCAGCCTGGGCCCCACCTTGGTGGCCCGGCCTTTGCGCCCACAGACATGGCAGAACTTGCAGCGGCGGCAGCACCAGGTGTCGTGGTGCTGGGGCAGGGGCCGTTCGGCCTCCTCCAGGCAGAAGGGATGAAAGGGGTCACAGCAGACTTGGCAGAACACCAGCTGGGAAAGGGGTAAGGGACAGGCAAAGCGTGAGGTCAGTGGGCCAGAGCGTGAGACCCTCCAGAGGAGAAGAGAGGAGGGGAAAGCATAGGGTACGGCCCCCTGGCGACTTGGGCAAAAAGGCAAAGCTCTAACCTCATGCAGGCCTTTGCTGGCGCAGAGCAGGCACACCATGGGCGGGCCCCCGGGCACGGAGGTGAGCACGCTCAGGCCGCCCATCAACCACACGTTCTCCAGGTCACAGTCCTCCTGAGGGGAGAGAGGACCCAGCATCGGGGCATGGCCACAAGCACCAGCCAGGCGCAGCCTCCGAGCCCCGGCTCCCGAGACCTAGCCCCTCCGTACCTTGAAGTCCACGCGAACCCGGTGCACTCCGTCAGGGGACTTCTGCTTTCCAGTCCAGCCATTGGGGAAAGAAGCAAAGGGGCCAGGGGCCAACGAGTCCTACAGAGGAATTGCAGGGAGGTCAGGGCCGCCACCCCACCCCCGCAGGGTCCTCAGGCCCTTCCAGATGGCAGGGACTGCTTTAGCCCCGCAGTTGGGGACACACCCCAGGGCTCAAGTGTCTCAGAGCCTGATTGGCTAGGAGGCAGTGAGAGGAAGGGAGGGAATTTCGCCTCCCACGGGCGGGGTGCTGGGTGTGCAGCCAGGCTGACCTTGTCCAGACGCCTGCGGGCCTTGAGCTGCACCACAGGCTGCAGGGTGGGTTTGCGAGGCCGGCTCTGCTCCTCGGGTTCTGGGACTGGTAGCTCTAGGCAGGACATAGGCGCAGTGAGTCCAGGCCGCGGCCCTTCTTCTACTGTCCCGTGCACTGGTTAACTAGGCAGTGCCCACTAGCACAGCTCCAGGCAGGCCCTGCCCAAGACACCCACTGAGCACGTCACACTCCTCAGCCACCTTCCCCATCACACTGGCAGTGCCGGGGCCTGGCACCCTGTCCCCCCCACAGACACGGGACCACATTCTTGGCAGAGGAAGTAGTAAGCAACTCGCACCATTCTCTCGGGGGGTCCGACGACGGGGAGCAGGGGGACCCCCGGGGTCTGAATCGTCCGAGTCCTCGAAGATATCATAGGAGGGTCGCTGTTTGACGCAGCGCCGGGCTGACTTGCGCTGCAGTAGGAGGGAGTCCTGCTCCTCGGGCCCTTGGGGGGCCACCACCTCCTCCCGGGGCCCCCCAGATCCCGCCCCCCGGCGTGGGCCTGGAGGACCAGGGGAGGCCTCCGGAGATTCATCGGAATCCCAGGGCAACAGCGTCTTCACTATCGTCCGGCCTGTGGGAACAGGGGACTTAGTGGGCTTCGAGCTCAGCCAGGGACAGAGGGACAGCTGGGAGGCGGAGGAGCCAGAGGGCAACAGCGGCGTGTGAGAGCAGCGAGCGGGCGGGGAAGAGGTGGAAAGCGCCCGACGGAGTGGAGGCAGGCAGCGGGCAATGGCGGCACATGGCACAGGGAGCAAGGGAGCAGGAAGTAGAGCCGTGGGCCCCTCTGCCCAGGCGTCTAAGTGAGCTCCTGGGGAGACACGCTGGCTCCTCAGACCGCAAGTTACCTTTCTTAGCTAGCCGTTCCATCTTCCGGGCCTCTATCTTGTCACACTTCCGGTATCTGGGGAGGGGAGCGGCAGGTCACCAGGGGAGGGGACTGGTGGTCTGGGGAAGAGAGGAAGCTCTCCACAAGGATGCCGACCCCACAGGTCTGGGTGGGCACGAGGGGGGCTGGGAAGGGGGGCCTGGGCAGAGGCTGCACCCCAGTCACTCACACACAGCACTGCTTCTTGGTGTTGGGGCCCCCAAACTTGGGCTTGTCCAGGCAGTTGACACAGGACCCACAGTCCTGCACCCGCAGGCAGCCCCGGCAGTTCCCGCACCGGGCCATGCGCATCTTCTTGCCGTGGTGGGAGGGCAACGAGCGCCGGGGCGTATGGGCCAGGGCCCCTGCAGACACGGAAGGCTCGGAATCCCCACCTGGCCCGGCTGCCTCCACCTTTTCCTGCTGGGACTGTGAAGGGACGCTCTCAGTCTCAGATGCGGATGACATCTCTGTTGCCGTAGAGAGAGGAAGGAGAACATGGAGCCACAAAGCCCAGGCCCCATCCAACCAGCCGACAGCCGCTTTCCCAGTCAGCTCGGGTCCCAGGTATATACGTACGAGTATACACACACACTGCCCAGCGACCCTTTTTCAAGACCTGGCATGCTGACCTACCTGTCACCTAGCCCCCAAGTTAAGTACCTGACTCAACTCCCACTTCCTAGGCCCTTGCTGACTCACCCCCTAAAACACACCTGTCCAGACTCCTCACAAACCTCCCTCCCCTGCCCTACCCTCGGTGGCGAGGTCCTGCCGGTCCCGGAGAGGGAGTGCACTGAGACGGGGGACATCTTCGGGCACCATGGCCCGGGCCTGCCCCAGGGCCACAGCAGCATGGCGGCAGACATGTTTGATGCGGGGACCTTGCACAGGGGACTCAGGGCCCTGCGTGAGGAGAGATGTTGAGATAAGTGGGAGCTGCTCTTGGCCCCAATCCTCCAACCGCTTGCCTTGTTCCAGGGAAGGCCGGGGTGGGGTGGGCTCAGACACAGGGCTCCTCCTCCCTCTCCATACCGAGGGTCGCTCTCTCTTAGCGTCCACTGATTCATCTTCCGATCTGACAGAACCTCGGTCTGGGATCTGCTTGACAGTCCCCATGACCTCCTCCATCTGCCCTCCAGGACTCAGCTGGGTGGGGTGGGGGTGAGACACAGGGTCAGGGTCTGGGAAGACGGGCAGGGCAGAAGGTATGGGGGAAGGGAGGAAGGACTGGCTCTGAGAACTCCTGCAATGGCGGAGGGTACCTAGGACGGCAGGTCAAGGGGCTGAAAGGAATCAAAGATGGCCGGACTGGGTGCAGGAGCCCGGCCCAGGGACCTTGCTCACCGGCACGGCCGCCGCCACCTTCTGCTGCTGCTGCTGGTCGATCTTGAACAGCTGCACCTTGGCCCTTTTGAGGAGGCTGATCATTTTCTCCTCTACCCCTGACAGCGGCAGGGAGCCCAGGCCCGCGAGCCGGGCCTTTTCCAGGGGCGATGGCGGCTGCACTTGCATTGGGGGCTGCTGCGAAGGGAGGAGCTGGGCTTGCTGGGCTTGCAGGGCCTGCTGGGGCGGCTGTGGCTGAGCCAGGGGCTGCTGCTCATTGCTCAGAGGTGGAGCCTCCTGGGGGGGCTCCTCAGCCTTCACAGGGCTGGCGACCACAGGGGCAAATCTGGGCAGGCTGAGGTGGTTGGTGCGGCCCACCGCCCGTGGCTCAGCCTCAGCTGGAGAGTCGTCAGCAGGCGGTGGCTCTGGCTCAGGGGCTTCAGGTGTCCCGAGGGGTGGCGTGGTGAGCACGGACTCATAGATCTTGCGGTGGGCCTCGCTGGGGGTGAACTGAGGGGCCCGGAGGAGGAGGGGCCTCCGAGATGGGGTTGTCAGGGCAGGGGGAGGAGGGGGAAGGGGAGGAGGAGGTGGCGGTGGAGGTGGAGGAGCTGGGGGCTGGACTGGAGGGGGGGCTGGAGGTGGCGGTGCTGGTGGCGGGGGCAGCTCCCGGGTCAGCGAGGTCCAGCGAAATGTGGGTTCCCTTAGGATCGACCGTCTCTTCTCAGGCAGTGGAGCTGGCGTGGG